AAACCAGTGGCAACATAAGCAGATAAAACACTGGTCAGCAGACTGAAGCATCGCACCAGACACTCTGGAGGGGTGGATGGGGACTACAGAGGGAAAATGAACAGTTTAACTTATAATACATCTTATCAGCAGGGTCATATGTTCACCTACATCTGGTGAGTAGCAGTTGAGCAGATTGTCAGCCACGAAAAGTAAGGATTTGTCCAACCCAGCTCTAGGACCAGCAAGAGCAGTGAATTGACAGGGAGGTTTTCCCTTTTGCTTTTCCCCAATAAGTCTCTGTTTTTCCAAGTGAACGCTGCTAAAGCTAAACTGCATAAAGAGCAGCTCGATTTCATTCTTAATTTGTGCATCTGGTTGTAAAGGATCCTGGTTCACAGCACTAAAATATAAGAGAAAAATGAGAAATGTTTCTATTTATTAAATATATATATAGTTATTTTATAATTTTGCCTTACCTCTCTACTTCATCACAACTGAGAAGAAACCTGAGTCCTGCTCTAGTGTCTTTAAAGGTTAAAGACACAAGGATACTTGCAATAAGATGGTCAGGGAAGTCTCTGTACATGAAACAATTTAGAGGTGAAAATACAAATAGCATGTATCAATATATGTCCACATATTCTTTTTTTTAACTTTGTGCATACCTGCAGATGATGGGGTGAGGCTTAGAATTGTCCTCAAGTTCATCACTCTGGTCACTCATTAGAAGCCATTCAGTGATGGTGTCCTTCAGGTTTGAGGATTCGGATCCGTCCATCAGCCCTACACTGGCCCACCCTCGGCCCCCAGGAAAGAGTTTAGGGACAGGCCAAGTCATCAGGGCCTGAGCCAAACACAGGGCTGCACTCCTGTGCACAGATGCAAAATTAAGTTAAAATCCTGCAAACCTATTTTAAACTTAATGTCATACAATCTCAGTCACTCACCATGAAGGTTTACAAGCTGAAGCAGAGAAGAGTTTCCAGAGCTCTCTGTCCATGTTTATCAGTTCTCCACGGACAATGGATGCGAGCAAATCTAGACTTGGTTCCTCTGTATGGGGTGAACTGACTCCCCGGAGGCTCAGAGACCAAACTTTACACCAGAGTCTGTTCAGCTCTGTCCTGTACATGTGAAATCTGCTGGGGTCTTTGGCCTGACAGCAGGCCACTTCTTTCAAACAGCGGAGCACATACAGCCCCCTCTCTCCTTTTCGCTGCTCAACCAGCAGCTGGTACAGCACTGACAGCAAAGGGACAAGCTCCTGAGCAGGTACCATTGATGGGTATTTGTAAATGAGCAGTGTAGTAATCTGCAGCCTGAGAGGCCAGAGGGAAAATAGTGTAAGTAGTTGATATTTACAAAAGCAGAAACTAATAAATATGTGTAATTTAATCAATGAAGTAGAAAACTAAAAATGATCTTTCCTACCATGGTATAACATCAAAATCCCTCTGCTGAGGCTGCAGGTGGTCCCGGAGAACCTCCCAGCTTAGTTCTACGCGACGTCTTTTGCTAGCTGCTCCATGACTGGGACTTCCCATTTGTGTGGCTCTAAACGAGGCTTGTGTCACCTCCATAGACTGGACTTCATTCTCCTCGCTGAAAAGCTACAGAGCGCACAGATCAAACAAGGGGGTACAAAGAAACTAATAAAAACTAAATGTTCTTAAGTCTGTTTTCTGACCAAGTGACTTATATCCGCTGTAAGTTGTACTAGACTGTCTTTGAGTGCAATGCTTCTGGTTCCTGTGTGGTATTTTCCTCTGCTGCCAATATCACTGATCTCTCGGACCAAAGTATCATACATGCTGTACAACAGACTGTGCCACCTTGTCCAGTCCTCAGCATGGGCACCTAAAATGGAAAATATATACTTTATTATCGCTAATCAAACCATTTAAATGATGTTGTAAAATAGTAACTACAATGAACATGCTGACTGACCAGTATCCTGTGTCCTGGCACCTTTGGGATGGTGAACACAGATTTGTAATTGACAGAACTCCACAATCTCCTCTTTGAGATGGGCACTGGGTCTCATATCTGCCCAGATAAACAGTAGAGGGGGCAAAAGGTCCTCTCCCAGGCGGCAAACTCTCATTCGGGAGTTCATTGAAGCAGATTTCAAAAAAATGTTTAAAGCTGAAACTAGGTGTTCTATAACAGTCAAGTGCTTCTCTTGCCTTGAATTAAAAAAATAGAATATAGAATAATAGTTAAGGAGAGTGTGTGCATTTGTTGGGCAAAGTAATACAATGTTTATCTTTACCTTGCATTCTGAAGTGCTTTGGAAAAAAATGAAAACAGGATGCTGCCAACCCCATCTGTCTGCATGCAGCACCCCTGGACTACAGTGTGAATGACCCTACTAACTAAAACACGGTTGATGGACTTGGATGAAGTAGTAAACAAACCACAGTAAAACTCCAGAATACCTGAGGATCACAAAACAAGTCAGTATAAGTACACTGAATTAATTTGTTTAGAGAAAGGGAACTTTTTTTATGCAACAGATTTGACATTTTCAGTGTTTTGATGATTAACTTTGCAGAAGTAGTGGTTAACATTAGTTAGGCTTTATTTTTTTATTGAACCGTATCGAATCGATTTGAAATATATTGTATTGAATCGAAAGTTCACTGTATTGAGATATGTATCGTATCGTGGCCTGTGTATCAAAGTATGTATCGTATCGGAAAATTCTTAATGATACCCAACCCTATTTGTGATATATGAGCTACTGTGTCTACATAATTTTCCTTATGGGTCAATAAGGTTTGTCTAAGTCTAAGTCTAAGGCTAAGAATGTCTACACAGAGTATGTTTTTATTCACTCACTGTGCCACTGCTGGGGAGTGATGTCACACAAGTATTTTCGGACAGAGAGTATGTCCTTAACCAAGAGGCTACTGTAGTCTTCACCATAAACCGAACAGCTGTATGAACACTGAAGCACGTCCATTACATGTTTTAAGAGCTCACTGCACTTTAGCCGGGGCCCACCTGTAAAACAATAAGATCAATAATATGGTTGTTATTAGGGATGGGACGACACACTATTTCCACAAGATGAGACAAAATATGAGATTGGGTCCATCAGAAAGAGACAGTACAAGAAGATTATAACATAATTCCTAATATATACATTTCATGAATCAGTTTCCAATTTTAACCTCACAAATTTGTATTTATTTGATTCATATTTTTATTTCCATTGTAGTACTGCTTTTTGGAACTGTTAAAGAGATGTAACTCACCAACATGTAACCCTTTTTGTCCAATCTAAATGTAAACACAAAAGATAATTTTTCTCTTGTGTGTGCAATCTTGTGGCTTTTGTCTCACGAGATCTTGTGGCACGAGATCTTGTACCATCCCTAGTTGTTATTATTATACTATTCATTTGTTATGACATGAAGTGAATAATAGATTTATGGACAACTCACGCTTGTTTGCATAGCGTATGAAGAACTTAATCAAACTACACATCTCAGCCATCTTCTTTTTGCGAGTTGCCAGTGTTGAGGAGGCGACATTGGCTTTGCTTGACTGTATGCTCTCTGTTTCTCTCTGGACATAGCGCTGGAGAAATCTGTTTAAGAGATAAGAAGAATAAGAGTTTCTTCCAACATTTATAGCATTCATATTAAGCCCAAATGGAATAGTGTTGTGGATAAGATCACCTGAAAACAGCATCCCATGTTAGCTGCTTGGAGGCTTTATTTTTAGCTCCAGATGTACGATCCAGCTCCTGCACAGTGTCTGGGGAACGGAGAAGTCTTCTAAAGCGCTCAGCTTCTTTCTGTAGGGGTCGACAAAATAAATATCGATGTTACTTTCATCAGTTATCCGCTGGGTTTCAGTTCAGAATGAGAAATTAGAAGCGTAAAACTAAATATTTTATCTTCTATAACACTATGTCCTGTCAATAATCATATCATTGTTGCACTTCCTATGACCTCTTGTATAAAGCTGAGATTTTATATTTTATTCTTATCTTTCGGTTTTATTTTGGCTTGTAGTGACATTTACATAATTATGCCTTATTTGACACCTGTCTCTACCTATCTTTTTTACTTATTTAGAATTTGTTATTGCCACTTATATTTATACTCTTTGTTATTATATTATATTGTGATGTGTGAGCTACAGTGTCCAAATAATTTCTCTTGTGGATTAGTAAAGTTTGTCTAAGTCTATATTCTGAATGAGAAAATGTCCTAAATGAAAGTCGAAACCCATGAATACCTAGACTGATTATGTGTTCCTGGAATATTTTACAACAACAAAATAAAAGTACTTTTCTTTCTGTAGCTTTGTCACTCTCCAGGCCTCTGCAGCAAACCAGGAGATCATGAAGTGCCAGACTCATTGTGCAGAGCTTTATGGAAAATAGGAGACAAGAGTGAACACAAACAAAGAAACTATTACACTACATAAAGCAACACCGATTATCTAAGAAACAGAAACTTAACTAAGGCAGTCCATGCGGTTTGGTAAAGATTTAAACGTAGACAGCCGCACTACTGACCTTTTTGGTCTCTCTGAAACTCCTGATACCCAAATCTGTTGCATGTATGTCTGTATGCTTTAAGGTTCACAGCTGGGATGGTGAAGTAGGGTCCATTATGCTGCTTTCCCCTTGACAAGTTCGCATGTTTACGTGCGCAGTCAAACCATGCACACACGTAAAAGCAGCACAGGAAATTCCCGCCCCAGACATCATTCACCACTGGGCAGCGCCATCACTTCCTTTCCATATGGATACGGCAACGTGTTCATTCACTTATACCAAAGTCTTCAAATAAAAGTTTACGCCTATTAATTATTTGTAAACGCTGCATTTCGAGTTTATTGTGTTGCATACATTCTAAATAACACGCAAATATAGGTGGTGTAAACGTGTAGTTGATAACAGCAAGGGTAAACATTGTAAGCCGAACTACATTGACCATGAGCCTCAGCAAAAATAAGTAGTCGACTTCCGGGTTGCTCTTGCTTGAGTTCCCCGCCTTTTAACTAAGCAGCAGTGCCCTCCAGACGTCGTACTCACAACAATACAGCTGATTCTCTTGCCTTTGTGTGGTTTTCTATCTGTTTACATTTTACACGCGTTAAATATGTTGCCAAATCTTTAGTACGGTGTGTTTTTATAAGCGAATACGGAGTGATGCTGCTGCCGTCAGACATTGCACGACTTGTTTTGGGTAAGTGTCTGTGTAAGTCATGTTAGCCTCAGCGCTAGCCCACAGCCACAATAAAATGTCACAGCGCTGGCATTGTACGTGGCGAACTTTCTATTATTGGCCTCTGTTGTAACATTCATATTGTGCTTTGGTTCGTGTATTCACAGGCTATCTCCAAGAGGAAGGATTATCTGATACAAGTCGAGCTTTTATTCACGAAAGCCCAAACCTAAAGGAGTATGCAGAACACAGCTCCGAAGATGGCACTATTCCTGCTTGTGTATTTGTAAGACTTATTTCATTCACCTCAGAAAATACAGTCCTGATAACACACATTCAGTATTAATAATATTTATGTTATGCTTTTGTTGTCCGCAGTCTATTTTTGGGAAAGGGTTAACGACCATCTTAAACGATTATGTGGCTGTCAAAACAAAAGGTTAGACATTTTGCCCTAACTCCGACCTACATGTAATTAAATGACCTATATTACACAAAGTTGATTATTATTAAGCTTTAAACCATGTTATTATGTCGTTACCTCTTCAAAAACACCCCCGGAGTTGTGTTTTGTTTCATTCACACATGTTTAAGTCGCTAACTCTTTATTATTAGTCTGTCTACATTTCCAAAGCTCAAAATGCTCTGTTCCACCTTGTGATGTCCTGACTCAGTAGTTTTCAAGTTAACAGCTCCTTTTACTTTTTGTTTAGTATAGATTGGCAATTCCAGGACTGAAATTATCCAAGTGATTCTAGTGAAGGTTTGTGGAGTTTAAAAACACAGTGGAGCACTTTCTGTATTATCACGTGACATCACAATTTTTAAAAAGATTTTTTCTGTTTGAGAGAAGAACTCAACCTAAATATGCAAGATTTGTGTGTTAACATATGTAAATGAAACAAAACACAACTTTGGTATTTTTTTAATGAGGAAATAAGATTATAATATAGACCAGAAAATAGCGTAATATGGGCCCTTTGATACATTCCTCCTTAGCCAAGGAGAAATTCAGATTGTTGACTGGACAAACATTATTTAGGTTGAAAACATTTCTTAGCTCATCCAAGCTGTTTTTGACCTAAATAAATGTTTGCCCACTTGACAGATTTTATTACTTCTTTGCCATGGATTCTACCTGGATGACTACACACATCTTGATTCCTCCTTAATTTCTTGTTTTTCCTCCTCAGAGTCCAATCACCAAGTGCCACCTATGATGTCATCTTTGTGGAAAAAGCTGGATTTTACACTCAATCAAATCAAGTGAGTAACTGCGACCAGTTGTCTGCCTTTTAAAATGTATTTGCTTGTATATTTAACCTGTACATTTCTAGGTCACTGCAAAATTCTCCAGCGTTATCAGCCTGTCAAAGGGGTAAGTCTTATAAAACTGGTTATTATAAAGCATTTTTCTTAAACAGACTCAAGTGTATTTATTGTTTTTCAGTGCGTTCTCGTGTAGGACTGGCAAATATTGCCAGACAGAGGGCATTAACAAGCCCTTCCACTGGAGTAGTGTGTACGACTGTTTCCGAGACCATCTCAATTGTCAGCCCTGCACAAACTTCTCATTGTATTGTTTCACATTCAACGCCTGTAAGCTACAGCGGCCAGCACAGACTTGTGCCCAGCATTGCTCCACATCTGCAAAGCCATGAAGCCATTCGAATTAACATGCCTAGTAAGTATCTTGAATGCTGTATTTATTATAATTTTTATTCTTGGTAAATAAACAAAACATATAATTGTGTGTGCGTTTTTCAGGGGATTCTCCTGTACATGTAACAGAGCATCGCCTAAATCCAGCACCAACGTCTCCTGGGCGAAGAAAGTGGTAACATATTTTATTTCATCAATTTACTCCCAAAACTGAATATACATTTTTTTTATATTTAGAGAAAATTTAAGAAAAAATGGCACAATTTCTGCAATATTACAATGTTTATAAAGTAGTAAAATATTTGTTTTTATTTTGTACATAAAATGACCATGTGCTCTGGGTTGCAATTCCAAGCCTACACAATATATAGCATACAGTAAAATGCTTAATTATAATGCTTATTTTTTTATTTCTGGAATGAAGGAAGAGAATTGGTGCATTAACTGGCTCAGCGGGTTCTTCAAGACCTGTTCCTGTCAGTGGGGCCACTCTAGAAGAAGAAACAGAGGAGATTGTTGATGAGAATTTTCCTGTAAGTGACTGGAATTTCATGATTGTTAATGTGATTTATTTTTTTCAGCTGTTACAAGAAATACATTTTAAACTGTAAACACTATTTATTCACCTTTCCACAGCAACTAGTAATTCAAAATGCTCGTGAGAAAATATTAGGGGACAGGTCTTTGCAAGAAAAACTGGCTGAAAATATCAACAAAATTCTCTCTAGGTGAGTTTCTTTCCCAAGTTTTCTTTGGGCTTTACTGTAAGTAGTCCTCCCAAATGGATAATCAAATACATCTTCTTTCCTATATTAGCGAGCCTACACCTCAGTCATCAAAAGCTGCTACAAACATGGTGGAACCCGATCAGTCCATCGATGAAATTCTAGGACTGCAGGTACAGCGGCATGAAGCCATATTTTCTGATGTATGGTTGATATGTTTTTTTTTTTATTGTGTTAATGTGTTTTTGTACTTGACACAGGGAGAGATCCATATGAGCGATGATGCCATTCATGACATTTTGGAGCAGACCGAGTCCGATCCAGCTTTTCAAGCCCTCTTTGACCTTTTTGAATGCAGTACGTACATGTGATTTATTGTTTCTCCCAAGACATGTCACAAATATTAAAGTTTTTTTTGTGTGTGTCCATTTAAATAGATAAAACCAGATCAGCAGATGGCGAAGCAGCAGATGCAGACATGAGCAGTAGCCCAGAAGAAGGTGATCCTCCTGAAGCCGGACCATCATCTGTGGCCAAGCCCAGCCAGAGTTTGGATTCAGGTTTGGTTTGTTTTTGGCATTTGATCAGAAGAACAGAATATTTTTGCTAGTATACAGTGCCTTTCTATTTATTTTAGGGTGAAGTCTTGCAATTTGCTTGCCATTCAATTCAGATACACAGAGCTTGGTCATTATTAAGTTTGGTTTCTTGCTTGTGCTTTCTTTTATTGATTGCATGTACGTAATAAAATGTGCTGTATATTGTTTTCAGGTGCTGCACAAAAAGACGCTTCTGATCCAGTGAAGGCCAAAGCTGTCATCGAGCGTAAAACCAGAAAATCAGCCCCATCGTTAAAAAAGACTATCATTGTCCCTTCCAACAGAAGCTCCAGAATTGAAAACAGTTCGGCCAGGTTATTATCAGTGATGCAAAGTAGTCAAGAACCCCAAGGAGCTTCACCCTCAAAAAGAACAGACAAAAGCTCTTACTCGGACACTGTAACGGCTATGGACATCGGTGAGCCTCAAGCCACAATAGCACCTACCCCAATAAACATTTCCACCACAGTTTTTGCCCCCACATCTGCCCCAGTTGCCTCTAATCCTAACATTTCACTACCTCGAACTACCATGACCTTGGTGGCGTCAGCAGCTCCTAACGTAAACAGACATTATGAAAGTAAAGAGGTCCAAGGATCTACCCTAACTTCAAATCAAAAAGACAGTTCAGCTACTCTGCAATCTGTATCGAGCAACTCCCAATCATCAGGACAATTGTCAAGCAGCGGGAGAGAAACACAAATAGGTCCAGCTTATCCAGTATCGTCTGAAAAATCCTCCGCTTCCTCTAACACAGTCACCCACACTATAGCCACATCAAATTCTGCGGCACCAACCTCTTCCACATCACCAGTATCTGTTTCCTCCTCTGTAACCATGACAAAACCCCAAACTTCTGTATCCTCGTCCTCGCTCACAGCTTCTACAACCGAACCAACCGCCTCAAGCAAAACTGGAGCAGATCCCAACAATATTATGTCACTGAAGATCATTATCAGTGACAACCAGGAGGAAGAGTCTGCTGCAGACACAGCCTTGAGCCAGGCCATATCCAGCATCTCCAGTGACAAAATTCCCACTATTTATCTTTCCTCTCCAGCAAAGTCCCCTGCTGTCCCTGGCACACCTAAGGGCAGTCTGGACGAGGCCGCGCAGGCAGTTAGCTGTTTACAGAGGTCCGAGACAGTTATTGCATCTCCCCTGACTGGAACCTCACAGCCCCAGCAAAGCTACATTATTCAGCTGCCCTTTGATGGTGCTACAACAACCGCTGCCAGCTACTTCCTCGTGACTGAGCCTCCTACGGCAGATGCGCAGAACAGACAGAAGATAGTCCCAGCTCCTGTCTCCAAAGGACAAGCCATCGCCCCCGCCCAGTTTGGTGTAACTCCACATACTCAAGGTTTTGGTCCTGGTAAGTGGCATTTGCTGATTTATCAATGAATGAGTAAAGACATGAAAACTATAATACAAAATCTTCTTGTTCAAGGATCGACCCTCATCCTGCCATCACCGATGAAACCTGTGGTGCTTCCATTGTCAGTTATGGGTCAAAATACTTTGGGAAATGTACAAATGGTTCCTAACCAGGTAATTATTTTTATTAACATGTGCAAGAAAAAATGACATTCAAACTAATATGAGAACATGAGAATCTGTATCCAACTCAGTTAAAAGAAAATTTAAAAGACCTTTTACCCAATATGAGCTATTATGGGATGAAAAAGGAGATCTGAGGCACTCCGATATACTTTGCTATGATTTTATTTCATGTCAAATGCCAGCATGTTTCGATTTGCGTCTTCATCACGTAATCACAGGTATATGTGCTAGTGGTATTTAAATGTACAAGTCACATGATGACACCATCATGTGATACAACCATGTAAACATATTTTTAATGTACATATTTAAAAAGGGACAAAGTGATGCATCACATCAATATGAGCATGAACCAATCTGGGCACAGGTGACCTATAATCTCTGCTCTGTGGACTATTATGGTCTGCAGTAATTAGCCGGGCATCAAATTACACAATAAAAAGAGTATAATTAATAGGTTTTGTGTTGCTTTTATAGCTTGTTCCCATACCAAATCCACCAGTGATGCAACAGAAAGAGACTGTGAAGCCTTTACCTGCTGGAGCTGGCAAACCATCTTCCACTTCAAGTAAGTCATGTAGTCAGTCTTAATTAGCATTAATGTGTGCTTTTTTCTAGAATAATTACTAAATAAACATTGTCATTCTTTCTATATTCCAGGTTCGGACAAAAATTTGGTTCCACCCCCACCGCCAGGGCCAGGCACTCAAAGTGTATCAGCAAGTCCCATCCCTGGCCATAGAAGGATTCTTTGTTTTGATTCATCTGGAGAATCTCAGACAAGTAAAATCAGCACATCTCCATCTCCATCTGCTTCAAGTGCGCAGCATTTACCTCCGAAATCCCCTCGGTCTAAGCCTGCTATCCTCACCAGCAACAAACCCAAGAGGAGGATAGAGACGGTCAGGTGCTCAGACTCCACTGTCCCACAGCAGAACCAGAAAGAACCTGCTAAAAAAGGATCCCGGAAACAAGAACATAATGTAGCTAATAAGGAGTCCAGTGGAGGTGCCAACATCATTGACATAACAAAACCAACAGAATCCAGTCGGAGATCTTCTGATAGGAAACAAAGTCTTGACACAGAAGAGGGTAAAAATAGGGAAAAGGAGACTCGTACTTCCAGATCTTTGTCCTCTGACTCATCCCAAAAAACTGGGAGTAGGAAAGAAAAAGAAGCTACAGATAAAGCCAAAACAAGAGAAGGTCGCTCTGAGAAACGGACGCAGGAGATCACCAGTGTAACAGCTAACAAGGAGAACGAACTGAAGGGTAGGGCTCAAGAACAATCAGCAACCTTGTCTCCAGCGCCTGCACAACCCACTCAGTCCAAATCCTCCAAACCTCCCTCAAAAACGAGCGCTCTGGCGAAACAAGCGGCTGAAATGCTCCAGGATATCCAAGCGCTCAACTCCCCGTCTACCCCTAAAGGCGTAGAAGTAAGCAGCCAAGAGGAGTCAGGTAGTGATTGCCCCAAGACCCCAACACGAACAAGGAAAAGCAGAGACGGTGAGGCCACTCCCCGACACCTAATCCCCCCCAACAGCTCGGAAATGCCCACCTGTAGCCCCGCCAGTGAAGCAGGAAGTGAAAGCAGCATCAACATGGCGGCTCACACGCTGATGATTCTGTCTCGGGCTGCGTTGGCGAGGACCGGGACGCCGTTGAAGAATAGTCTGCGTCAGGAAGGGGCAGCGGAACAGTCGCCCACAACCTCAAAGATCGGCAAGAAACGCAAGCAGTCCACTCCGACGTCCAGCCCCCCAGCAAAGGAGACAAAACGCACACCCAGCAAGAAAAAAGTGAGTAACAGACTAGACTAGGCCACTTTATGCCTTTCATATCTTTTCAATAACTAGACTTGGACAAACTTTATTGATCCACAAGTAGGGTTGCATCAAACATTATCACGATTCTTTTGTTCAATATTGAAATCACCATTATTCAAACGATTATTTTTTAGTCACACGATGCATTTATTCAGCATTTCTCTCTACAAGATATACACTTTGTTATTGATAATTTATGCACAACTTTCAAATTGAAAATAAATATAGTTTTGTGATGTGTAAAACATAAAATGAATAAAATACACTTTGAACATGAAATAAAGGATAGAAAAACATGAAGGTAGCCACAATAAACTATATATCCAGCTGTTCTACAATCTCTATATTTATAACATAAAATAAATATACCTATTTATATAAAAACATGCCAAAATAAACTTTGTTAAGCTTTCGTTTGAACTAGATTATATGAGTTTGGAGATCGTTTGACAAACAAATCAAAATCACAATCAAAATTGAATTTATTGCACAGCCTTATCCACAAGAGAAATTACTTGAACATAGTAGCTCACACATTAAAATAAATATAATAAGAAAGAGAAAAAAATATATAAAAATAGCAAGAGACAGGTGTCAAATAGGGGATAATTATATAAATATGTGTACAAGTCAAAATAAAATAAAAAATAACTAATATAATATCTCAGCTGTATATAAGAGGTCGTAATGGAAAACTAACTTTTAAATTGGTTGTACAAGAGACATATTATGCATACCTGTGTTATAATTGTTTTCTCTTGTAATTTATCCAGTTATATTTAGAGTGATTCATGCATGTTTGAATAACTCTCATAAAGTCCATTGGCTCAGACTTTATGGTGTTATCTCACTGTAGAACATGTGTAGTATAGATTAGCATATTATGGTTGTATTGGTCATTAGATTGAATTATTGCATTTCATTTGTATGTGTTTTTTCATTATAGGAACGAAAGAAATTGGTGGAATGTTTTCCTCAAGACTTGGATGTGGATAAGTTCCTGTCTTCTCTTCATTATGATGAGTGACACGACTTAAACATTAAAGGACTCATACCATACCGCAACCTACTTGAGTTACTAACCAGGAATAGAAAAAGCCATCTGCCAGTGCCTGACAGACTCCGCTCCTCTAAACTGTCGTGTGAGCCAGTGGGTGAAAATGGAGCTGTCTTTATGGTACTTTCCACAATTATTTTGGCAGCAGTCGACCACCTACTTTTGATTGGCTATAACTTTTCTTTTTATTAAAGTCTGTTTTTACAAATGCAGTGGATAGCAGCTCAAAATGTGTACATATCCTTGGTCAATATTTGACTAGAGCTAACTGAATCCAGTCAATAATTACACTCACATTCATGTTTATATTACAAAAGCTTGTGAACTGGTTGAAATGTGATTTTAAAAAATATATTTAGTTTGAACATAAGTGCTTTTTAAACAAAGGACTTTCTTGTTTCAAAGGACCTTCTGGTTTCATGTATTGTTTTCAATACAATATTGTAATAAATCAATGGAGCACTTTTGTGTATTTCCTCTGCATTAAATTGCAATTCTTGTTATTAATAATACCCGTAAAAGCTATGGGAGCCTGGTATTATTATGACAGTTTTTTCTTTTTATTCTTGTTCATCCATTTCACAAAATATGACGAAATTGGAGTTACATAGACAGTTATTTATGTATAAACTCATTCAGTGTAATTTGTTAGATTTGGCAACATTTGATTGGCCCACAATTTACAACTGATGGAATCACGTCATATTTGGACTTTCGAAATAAAACCGTGAACTGTTTTACAACGACAATTTACAATCATAGTTTAACGAATTTAACATAAGTCGCAGTTAAAGGGGCGTGTTTTCAGAATAACTTAAACTATGGCATATTGCTTTAAGTTTGAAAAAGCTTTTGGGAGAAAACATCCACGCAATCTCCCCAACAAATCTGTGTTTTGTCTTATTTTGAAACACTCCGCCTTTGCTTCCGGGTGAAAAGGACAGGCGAGAGGTATGGTTGTCATTTCATTTAAACAAATGCCGCTCCGTTTCGTTATTTTGATCAGGTCAGTGTATAAACGTACGTGTTCGCGTCGAGAAGTATTTTACACATCGCACAGCACGTGAGTCATTTCAAAACGCACGTAAGGTTTTGTTATTTTTATGGTTTTCGTGCCCTATTAGCTTAGCGCGATTGCTAACCGGGTAGCATCCGAAGTCTACCAACGCGAAATTCCTCGTATTTTACCATCTTATTTTGGACTGATCAGTATTGTGTTAATTTGCGTATGTGATGCTTACAAGTTAAAGAAAATGTTTATAACCTTGTCAATCAAACGTATCTTTTGGTAAACGTGTGTTGTCCATAATCTAAATGAAGATGTGATGTCAAAAGGGCAGGTCTGTGTTTCTGTCTTGGCCCCTATAGTTTCCCCTTGGGCTCTCACATGTCACATGTGAGGCGCAGTGCTATATAAATCCACTCTATGTATAAATCTCTAACTCTCAACTCATTTCCCCCCCGTTTTCCATCCAGATAGACGCATCGGCTAAACCTTTCTGGACATGGCAGCCAATGGGGACAGTTGTGAGCAGTCCCAGAGACGATCAGGACCTAAGGACAAACAGAATGGCAAATCTGCAGGTAACGACTTAGACTTAGACAAACTTTACTGAGCCACAAGGGAAATTATTTGGACACAGTACTACCCTACAAAAGACCTTAACTCGCCAGAGTGTGAAAACAAAAAAAAAATCACTTCAAAGTTTTGTCCAGACAAAAGTATAACAGGTAGGGCTCCCAAAATCTGACAACTAGCTGCTATAATGAAGAAATATTTGTATGTGAAAAATACTGAGCTCAAAATTGACCTTTGACCCCTTAATAATTAGTCAGGCAAAAGGCAGTAACTGATGTTATCATTATTTGCTTGATTTTTATCCATTATAAGTACACCACACCAAGGTCTAGTCATCATGTTGTTTGTTTAAAATGATTTAGAAGACCTTTGGATTTCCTATTTAGTGCTGATCAAGATCATGCGGCAACAATTACACAGTTTGACAGACGAGTTACTTTGGAGAATAGTATGTACAGTATGAATAAATACACAAAATACTTTCACATTAAAGATAATATAAGTATTGAATTGAATACAAAGGTATATTTATTTAATGTGTTACTGCCTTTTGCCTTTGTATCATGTGCCAAAAATAAGAAGTCGTGCAAAGGCAGAGTACAGGAACTGCCAAACAAGAGTCAAAGGCCAGTTTTGAGCTCAGTATTTTTTACAATATTTATTCACATGATAAAGCAGGTCTCAAATGCCCCCAAAATGACATTAACTCATTTTTGACCAAATATCACTCATCATATTTAATGTCAAAGAGTAAAAAATATAAATGGTAATTAGGGTGACCAGATTGGTTGGTGCGTTTATATATATTTTTTTCATGGTCATTTTCAAGATCAGTTTTCTGTATTTAAGCAAAACAAATGACAATATATTCCCCTGTTTAGTGATCAGATTGGTTAAAATAGGGAAACCTGGGACATTTCTTGTAAAAAAAAAAAAAAAAAACCTGGGACAAATCACTGGTTTTGGATAAATCTGTAGGGTCAGGGGACACAGGGCTCAAAACTGGGACTGCTGCGGGTAAATAAGGACATCTGGTCACCCTAATGGTAATAAAAAATCTGAATAAGTAGCAAAAAGATGGCAAGAGACAGGTGTCAAATAAGGCATAATTAGATAAATGTAAATGTACAAGTCAAAATAAAATGGAAAAATAAGTAATAGAATATACAATCTCTGATATATACAAGAGGGCATAGGAAGACAATGCAAACGTGATGGTAGACATTAGCTGTTTGGGCTGTTTGCCTGTGCTTTGTAACTGCCTGATTACATGGAATGATAACAAGCGTGTTTTGGTATGTTTATGCAGCAACACACTACACTTTAACCTTTGGAGCTTGCTTGGTTTCGTTTTGTTACATTACTATTAGCATGACAACAGAGGAACATCCAGAGAAATGTGTAGAATTACCAGTCATACAGGAATGTGTTATAATTAATGCAGAAATGATCTCCCCCTCCTCTGTAGACTCTGTACTAAGAGACAGACGGCTAAAAGAGAAAGAGGAGCGTCTCTCGTTGGTTCTATGGAGGAAGCCTGTCACTACGCTGCATTACTTTCTCCTGGAGACCCTCATCAAGCTAAAGGAGTTGACTTTGAAGTAAGCAGTAGTGCCAGTTTTTCCTGTTTCCACCAACCTTGTTCCCATTGTTGTTCCTCCATTTTCCGCTGAACTGTACTGATGAATAAGTGAATCATAAACATAGGGAAAAAAAATAAATCTTTCATTTATGTTTCTTATTAATGTTTTCTTCTCCTGTGTTCATCCCTCAGGCTTTGGCAAAGGAGAGGGGCAGTGCTCTTATTTCTATTGGTGTGTTCTCTCTTCTCTATGGCCTACTCAACTGAGGGGGGGCACCAAGAGGTAAGTATTGTTTAGTTGTTTTCTTTGGCATGTTAATTATCAACTGTAGAAACACAAGTCAGTTTAAAGGTTAAAGATAAGCCAGTTCTTCATCATAAGTTATCTATGAGAAGCTATGTTTCGATACTTGAACTGTTGCAGTTCTTACAGTTAAATGCAATTTAGATTAAGTGATTAAAAACTCTTATAACAACTCCTGAACATATTCAATGCGTTCAGATAATTCTATTGCCAGAAGCATTAGTGTTTACGTTATCTTATTTTAAATGGCTCTCTGTGTGTGCGTGTGTGTATAAGAAAGGTCCATTTTCATTAACCTCTCTTGACCCAAAGCAGCTGATAAATAACTCAATCACTCAAACAGGATTAGGGAATAAAGAGGATTGATGTAAGAAATGTCATGTGTTGTAAAAATGCATGTACATGCCTTTTATGTAAAATACAACCCTCATGATTATTTTTTACAAATGTGTTCAAAAAGTTTATACTAACATAACACTCTTTGCCTGTCAAAGTCTGCTTCCTTAAAGGTTTTCAGTTTATCATAATATTCACCATCCTGTTTATTCTGTTACAGTATGTACAATACTTGGAAAAGAAGTTCCTATGGTGTGCCTACTGGGTAGGCCTTGGCATTTTGTCCTCAGTAGGCCTTGGCACCGGCCTACACACCTTTCTTCTTTACTTGGTAAGAGGAAAATCTTTTACTCTCTTTAACACAGTTTGGTGATCCATCATCTTCAGGTTAAAGCTTATGTTTAAAAGCAGCTTATGTTTAAAAGTGGTCTGTATTACTTAAGTTGAAGCTGTTTTTACTGAGGAGGTGTGTCACCTTTTGCTTTTATACAGTTGTATATTAGTAGTAAATTCATGTGATGAAGTGCACTTTATTTGCCCTTTTCCCTTCTTGGAAAACAAGTTTTATCTTTAACGTAATACTACTTGATTTCACCATCACGTGTCACCAGAACTTGATTTTGTCAACCTTTGCTAAAAGGAAGTTGATTTCATGACACAAATCTTTCAGGCATGACTTTGGTTGAAACTGCTATGTGGCAAAAACGAATACTAGAGTTTTAGCCTGAAGTTCCCTGTACAAATGTGTTCCAGCTGACCTAATCTTTTCCATCATAATGCAACAGCTATGACTTTTACAAAGCTATTCATCTTGTGCTGATGTAGTCATACTAAGTGGGAGGAAATACCCAGTATTGGGATTGTAAAAATAGTATATAGCAGTATGGATAAATGGATTGCAACAAGACTTGTGCCTGTGCAGACTTTAAGAGCATATTTAATTTAGTTATTTCATTTGCTGGTTTATTACCTGTGGTGTAAGAACAATTTACATGCTATGAGCACATGTGCCTGTCAGTTTAGACATGAATTTATGAAAATATTGGTGTTGTGATGTATTTTTATTTGTCAAATAGTAATTATGAGAATTAGATGAGCTTTGATCCCTGTTTATAGTGTGATTACTAGTTTACAATTACCCTTGTCCAACCAGGAATTAAAATTCTAAACTTCCACAAATGGGAAAACAAGAGAAGATTTTTAGTAAAATCTTAAATTATAATTTATCATGTATTTATAATAATTTGTAAACATAATTATATTTTAATTAAATGTAGTTGTCTAACATATGTAGATGGTTCTTGGATTTCATACTGAGTTAAAACAGCCACACATGTTTGATATGACAGAAACAAGATCTATAATACACCCGTGCATCTGTGTTGGTCCTGAAAAGACCATCAGCCCACTCATGCATGAGGTGATGTCACCTATAGCCAGGAATCCCCAGTGTATTTTCTTTATGAACTCCCAGATTTCCCACCAGCTGAGGTAAACTCAAGCCTAAAGTATTTATGACTATGAGGATGATCTCACTGTTTACATGGGAAGGGGATTCACTCACCAGTGTGATCATATTTTTCACATGGCCTTTTTGCACTAAAATGCTTAACTAGTACCTGGTACACAAATTTGCTTTTGTCAGCGGTGCAGGTAAAGCTATTCTATGATACAGTCTGTCTGTATG